GCAACAAAGGTGCAGTAGTTTCTAATATTCATAAAACTCACAGGTAGGAAAATAAGCTAGTAGAACAGCAGCGACACCTTCACCTTTGATATTCAGCAGAGTCACTTCTCTCCTTGAGACTGTACCAAAGAGGGAGTTCTGCAGCTAAGGAAACTGAACCTCGTGTTGCTACAAAGATCAAGTTGCTTGTGAGCAATGAAGTGGATCTGTTTTACTCCAAATGGCTGACATAGGTTACCTCATCTCTAAAGTTTTGTCTGGTTGTGTGATGTAAAATGTATCGTATAATGAAAAATAAAAAAAAAAAAAAAGAAAGAAAGAAGTTGAGGACTACAGAAATGGAACATTTGCAGTTCTTATGTTTTTGGTTTGACTTTACTGAAGAAGAAAGGAGCTTTTATCTGAAAGACAAGACAGTTTGAGATTCTGGGATATAGCTATGAGCCTTCGCAGTCTATAAAGGTTATGTTTACTTTGAAGCATGGACACCCTTGTTCTGTGTATCACAGGAGTCTGATTAGCTTATGAAATCTGGAGAGAGAAGTTCTTTGGGGAAGGTGTCTCTGAATACGAGGGCAGACGTTTCCATTTTCTTGTGTTCCATGTACCTCTTGCCTTTGTTTCAAAAGCAAGAGGCAGAAAAGGCAAAGTGCAAAGGGAATGATAATCATGCTCCAATTCCTTATATTATGTTTTTCACTTTCTGATACTCCTTATTCTTTAAGATAACTCTATTTATGCTTTAGAAAATAAATAATTTAAAAAATACTTTTTCATGTAATGTGGACATAATTTCTTAGTAATGCTATATCTAAAATAAAAATGACCTAGTAGGGTTTATTTTAAAAACCTGTTAATTTTTAAAAATAATTTTAAAGCAAATTGTTGTTGTTGTTATGTGCTGTGGAGTTGGACCTGACTCATAGAGACCCCTCCTTGGGTTTCTGAGGCAGTATCACTACGGAAATGGACTGCATTAAGTCATTTAGTCCTTCCTTCCAAGGAGTGGCTGGTGGGTTTGAACCGCCAGCCTTCTGGTTAACAGTCAAGTGCCTTTGGCACTAAGCTACCAGAGCTCCTAAAGCAAATAAGTAAAATTAAAAATATGAACAACTACATAGTTTTTTAAAAAGGATACATTATAAGGTTCATGAGTATCCTGATAGAAGTTATTTTCTGACATATATTAATTTCACATTGCATTTATCATTAAGAATGGTTAATTATTTAATATAATATATATAAAAAATTCCTAAATGTAAACTTTGATTTTGTGTATTCATCTTGTTTTCTAACATCTAGTACATATACAAATATAATAGCCAAGAATATTGGTCAAATTAAACAGATCTTTTTTTCACATAATGTAGTTAAAAGTTCAATATTATCTCTGTCTGATTTAGACTTCTTCAGAAATAAGTTGTCATCCCTTATGTTTATAGTTTGGTATAGTAGAAAGAAAGAAACCCTGGTTGCA